TATTTTGCCTTCATAAGTCTCGCTGCTAAGGAATCCGGGTATGTTAAGAGCCTCCAGCCTTGCTTTCCTAGCATCGCTAGGTTGAAATCTCGCATAGCTCGGAAGCCTAAGCCCCCTGTTCTCTTTGAGGTGGCAAGCTTCTTCCATTCCATCCAATGGATCTTGTGCTCGTCCTCCCCTCCTCCCCACCAGTATCTATTCATAATACGCTCCAGATCAGTACATAGAGAGGCCGGTAACAGGAAGAGACTCATCAAGTAAGTTGGGAGAGATTGTAACACTGATTTAATGAGAACTTCTCGACCAGCGCGAGATAGTGGCTGTTCTCGCCACTCACTTATGCATGCCCAGAATCTGTTCTTTAGGCCAGAGAAAACGGTTGTTCTTGATCGGCTTATGTAAGTAGGGAGACCCAGATACCTTCCCGGAAGCTCGACTTCTATCATGCCCAAAACTGTGGAGATACAGCTTCGTGTCCTCTGTTGCACGTTATTGCTAAAAGTAATGGAGGATTTTTGCAAGTTGATCACTTGGCCAGATGCAGCTTCATAGCCTCGCAGAATAACCATTAAATTTCTAGCTTCAGTCTCAGTGGCTCGAAGGAACAGAAAACTATCATCAGCAAAAAACAAGTGAGAGATTTTCGGTGCTTGTCTACATATTTGGATACTATGCAAACTTCCTCTGGTTACAGCATCATTCAACATCGCTGTGAGACCTTCTGCACATAGGATAAAAAGATAAGGCGATAATGGATCACCCTGTCTCAAGCCCCGAGTAGGAGTTACCCGCCCTGCCTCTCTACCATTTAGTAACACCTCAAAAGTTACTGATGAGACACAGCCCATGATTAACCTGATCCAGCCATCAGCAAAACCCAGGGCCTGCATAACCTGCTCTAAGTAAGGCCATTCAATACGATCAAAGGCCTTGCTCATGTCTAGCTTAACAGCTTGCCAACCCCGCTTCTTTGTTTTCCGAGCTCGCATATATTGGAGGATTTCATAAGCAATCATAAAGTTATCAGTGATCAACCGATTTGGTAAGAAGGCACTCTGTTCTTGGGAAATAACTCTCTGTAGAACCAGCTTAAATCTGTTTGCTAAGACCTTTGCTAGAACTCTATAAATAACATTACAGAGGCTGATCGGACGCAGGTTCGCCATGGTTTTTGGTTCACTGCACTTTGGAATGAGCACAATATGGGTAAAATTGAGTTCCGGCGGGAGTATCCCCCCATGGTTCAAGAAGTCTAGGCATGGCTTAACAACATCATCTTTCACCACATGCCAAAAGTTCTGGAGAAAACCAGGTGAGAGCCCATCAGGCCCAGGGGCCTTGGAAGGATGCATCTGATGAAGTGCCTTAGTAATCTCGGTTTCGGTGAAGACCTGGAGGAGGAAAGCATTATCATCTGCAGTCACCCGAGGGGATAAACAAGAGGTCACTCGATCAATATTGGTGGCGAAGGTAGTGGAGAATAAAGAGGAGAAGTAGCTTGTAGCAATGCCCTGCAGCTCCGTGAATCCATGCTTCCATTCCCCCCCTGCATCCATTAATTTTTCTACCCTGTTCTTGTCCCGCCTCCTAGATGCTTTCCTGTGAAAAAAACGTGTGTTTCGGTCACCCTCTTGCAACCAAATTTCACATGATCGTTGTCTCCACATGGTCTCCTCCCTTTCCAACCACTCTTCAGTTTCAGCAAGCACCTTTTGTTCTTCATTCTGAATAGCTTCTGAGGAAGGCATATTCTTCAACGACTCAAGGTGTTCCATGCATTGCTTTAGTTGATTCTGCACATGGCCAAAATGGGAAAAATTCCAGCTTTGGAGTCTCATAGAACTAAGACTGATTTTCTACAGTAAACAACTCCAATTTCCTTCACTTGTAATAGAACCCCAACTAGAAAGAACTGTTTCATTGCACCCAGGATCTCGGAGCCACATGTCTTCGAACCGAAATCTCTTCTTGCGTCTATTGTGACGCTTATAATGGCTATCAAGAGTAACCCATAGCGGAGAATGATCTGAGGACAAGGGGGGCAGTAATCTAACTTTTGCTCGGGGGAACAAATTCCGCCATCTGAGGGTGGCAAGGCCTCTGTCCAACTTCTCTTGAACACCTCCTCGACGCCAAGTGAAATGGCCTCCGACCATTGGTATCTCCTCTAAGTTACATGCTTCCACCACTTCCCGGAAGCCACATAGCATCCACTCAGGCTGAGGATTACCACCTACTTTATCATCTGGTTGTAAGAGATCATTAAAATCCCCTCCAATCAGCCATGGTAGCTCAGATTTTGTGGCTAAATCTTGTAAAAGTTGCCACGAGTGCCGTCGGTTGTGTCTCTCAGGGTGCCCATAATAACCTGTGAAACGCCATGTGCAAGAGCCCATGCGTTCAACCTGCATATCTATATGATTCCGTGAATAAGAAAAGAGTGATAGTTGTATGTCATGCTTCCAAAGCATAGCCAAACCTCCACTGCGTCCCACTTTGTCCACTGTAAAGCAATGACTGAAACCCAATCTTCTTCTTACTTTGTCCATACCTCTTTTATCCAGTAGAGTCTCACACAAAAACACTACTGCAGGCTGCTTCAGCCCTACCAGTTCGTTGAGGCAACGAACTGCACGAGGGTTCCCAAGCCCTCGGCAGTTCCAACAGAAGAGACTCATGGTGACCGGCGGGCCTGCGTGGCAGCACCCGCCGATAGTATAATAGCATCACCAACATCACTTATACCTTTGCCCCGCTTCTGTCCACCGAGTTGCTCACTTACAAGGATTTGGGATTGCTCGTCCTTCCTCTTGATCCGACAGGAAGAACTTAAGGTGTGTGAGCTAGAATGGCGTCGTTCTCGAGCCTCCTTCTTCCAAGATCTAGTTCTCGGAGGGTTATCACCCGGGGTCGAGGAGAACACAAAGATTAAGTCCGATTCTTGGGTCTCAACGGAGCGGAGAGGCCCATCACTATTGTGGCCTTTTTGTCCTTCCATATTATCAGAAAGACTTGGCCCACTTTTTTTGGGAGGGGGGGCCCCCAGTGTAGGACTATGCTTCTCTGGAACATTCAAATTTAAGGCGGGAGCTCCATCACAGATATCTACAATATTCCCTGTATTCCCTTGATTATGCTGTCTTTCCATATACTTCGCTTTGGGGCTCGAATCAAACTAGCAATTCTCCGAACTACCATATCCCTGCAATATTTGACAGCCCTGATTTAAGGCACTCATTTGCTCCACTGGATTCTTTGTTGCATCCCGATAATCACGGCCATTCATGCCAATCTCCCTTCCGTGAACATTGCCCATTTCCAAATCAGGCCTTCTTCCCAATTTTGGGAGTTGGTGTCTCTCCCGTGAGTTCTCACCGGTTGGGAAGCCGGCGGCGTCACGCAACCATCTCCCATTATTCGTTGCAGCCTCCTGTCTCTCCCGTTTCGATGCTGCTCTAAGCCTGTCATCATAAGGCCGCTCCGTAACTCCCATATGTTCTAGCTCCAAACCCAACTCACAGTCCCGTTTAACATGATCCAACATGCCACAGCAATAACAGAAATGCGGGAGCCGCTCATACCGAAACGAAACCCAAACTGGCCCATCCTTCAAAGAAAGCTTCATACCACGTCGCAGAGGTTTCCTTGAGTCAATAACCACGCGAACACGAATATAATCTGTACCCCATACATGACCATTCCCTGCGTCCACCTCAAATGAGTCTCCCAATTTCTGCACCAATTCTTCTACCTGCGGCTTCAGTCATTCGGCTTGGTGGCAAGTCATGGATCTGGATCCATAATGGAACCTCAAAAAGATAATTATTTCCAATTTTAATTACCAAAATAAAAGCAAAAAACCCTATCTCAATTTGCAGCCTACACTCCCCTATTTCTGCGACTTCCTTCCTACTCACGTCTCCCTCCGTTTGCTACATCCAGGTATCAACGAAAGCCCTCGCTTCATGCTCATCTGTTTCATGTGGCTTCTCCTGCTTACCTCTTTCTCTGCTCATCGCTTTCAGTGCCAACAAACTCT